CTGAAGCATGTGCGCCTGATGCCTCTGGCCGCCCCCGTGGTGGAACTCCGTATCTTGCATGCGTTTCGTTTGAGACAGGGGCTTTGGCAGTCTGTCCGTGGTCGTCTTTCCGCGGCGCCCCGAAGCCTCGCCCCTTGCATTGCCCCGTCGGTATACCTCGGCTTCGGGCCGCTTGACCGCTCTTCCCTGCAGAGGGTAGCCGTGCTGTGGCACGCATTTGGTTGCTGCGCTGGCTCCTGAGCCGCGCCGTGGGCCACAGGGGCATCCCGGGGCGCTGGCGGGGCCGTCTTGGAAATTCCGCGGGGTTTGCAGCAGTCGCGGAAGCAAGGGTGCAGTCACAGACACGTTTGTTCAGGGGTCCCGAGCAGCAACAACCAAGATGATGACGATGGTGATGATGGCATCGATGGTGATGGTGATGGTGACGACGATGAAGTAAATAATGAAGAGGAATAGGAATGTGGGGATGATGATGGTGTCGCGGAGGACGATGACCAGATGGATGGTTATGATGATGTTGATCATGATGGTGTTGATGATGTGCTGTGGATGATGATGACGGTCGTGATGGTCATGCTGTTCATGAGCCGAATTGTGATGATGATGGCGCTGATAATGATGGTGGTGATGATGACGGTGATGGTGATGGTGATTGTGATGACGACGACGATGATGATGAAGCTGATCATGGTGGTGTTGATGATGATAACGGTGACGAAAACGTTGGTGAAGATGTTGGTTGTGGTGATGATGAGGACGGTGATGATGCCTTCTCTGATGGCGATGATGGTGATGAGGATGAGGATGAGGGTGATGATGAGGAGGAAGAGCATGGTGGGGATGACGATGATGAAGATGCGCAGGATGATCAGGGTGCTGATGACGATGTTGGGGTAGCGGACGATGGCGATGATAATGAGGATCAGGATGAGGTTGATGATGATAGTGGTGATGATGATGACGATGCCGATCACGACGATGGTGTTGTGGATGATGATATTGTTGATCGTTGGCGATGATGATGTATGGTGGCGATGATGATGGTGATGGTCAGATGATGATGCTGTCGATGGTGGTGATGATGATGTTGGTGATGGTGACGACGATGAGGATGAGGATGATGCAGAATATGGTGGGAATGACAATGATGGTGTTGCGGATGCTGAGGATGATGAGGCTGATAATGATGATGTTGATGGTGACGATGATGATGGTGATGATGATGATGATAAATATGATGATGATGCTGCTGATGATGATGATGATCATGATTATTTTTGTTATTATTATTATTATTGTGTTGCGGATGCTGTTGAAGACGAGGATGAGGGTGAGGAAGATGAAGAGGACGATGATGCTGACGATGACGATGACAATGATGATGGCAGTGGTGATGGTGCCGATTATGAGAACGATGATAGTGATGATAGTGATGCCGCTGCTACTGATGATGATGACGATGATGAAACGCCCTCGGAAGCGCCTACTGAAAGAAGCAACTGGGATGAGGTGGAAACGAGGGGCGGTAAGTGGCGGAAGTTGGCGTCACTATCAAAGATAAAAAACAGTTGCAGCAGGCGTCGGAGCACACGATCACTTCTGTAGCCATGGTTCACCCGAAAGGTGCCTGCTTCGCGCCAAGCTGCTGCACTGACAGACGGATCGGCGCGATGGAGCACACAAGAGCAGCGGCCATCCCCCCCCCCCCGCGAGCTGAGCGCCCGAGGTTTACCGCATCCTTGCAGCTTGGGAGCCCTTTGCCATGCAGTAGGGGCGCGCATCAGGAAACTACATGCTTTTCGTCGGGGTGTCCTGGGTTTCTTCGCTCCGCGCGCTGCGCGGTGACTTCCCGCGGCCGTGGAAGCAGCTGCTGCGTTCTGGGTGCTCCGGGTGCCCCCTCAGATGCACCTCGCGCGCGGGCTTTCAGGGTTGGGTTTCTTGCGGCCGCGCCCGCACTAGACGCCGTCTCGCGCTTGTCTTTGGTCTTTTATATCAGGTCGGGCATGTCCTCCGACAGGCGGGTTTTGGACGAAAACTTTGAAAAGAGTCCAACGATATTCAAAAAGTATTTAAAAAATAGTTAAGACATCGACCCCAAACTATGTTTTGCCTATTGTTGCATATTCGTCCTGTAGAGGGGCAGGCCCGACGTAGCATTCAGATGGCAGCGTGCCGCATCACCATGCCAATCTCGGTACGGTAGGAGAGCGTGCCGTGTTGCTGTGGCGGCGACCCCAGCCCGGGCGTTCCAAGGTCGAGCGCCGCCAGGGGCCCAGAACCGGCCGACGTCGGACGCGTTGCGCCTGCGGAGAGGCGCGGTCGCTCAGGGCTTGAACGATCCAGGCGGTGTCGTGGGGGTGCAGTGCGAAGAGTGACGTACACATGAGAACTCGGAGGTCCTCGAACGCGTTGCGCCTCCGGAGAGGCGTGATCGCTCAGGGCTGAACGATCCAGGCGGCGCCGTGGGGGAGCGAAGAAGGACATAAACATCAAAAAACTC